AGAGAGACATAGAGAGAGGTAGAGAGACATAGAGAGAGGTAGAGAGAGATAGAGAGACATAGAGAGAAAGAGCCAACGAATGATAAAACAAAAACGACACGCACCTTCAGTCCGATGTCAGGTTCTGCATCTCCGGCTCCTCACGGACCCCGATCTCCTGCACTGGCTCTGAGGGAGGGGTTACAACACACGGTCAACAACGGGAACTCTCCCTTAGGCTGTCTGCAACCTGCTTAACAGGGCTCCCCGACACAGAGAGAGAGAGAGGGAGAGGGAGAGGGAGAGAGAGAGGGAGAGGGAGAGACAGAGACAGAGACATAGAGAGAGAGGGGGAGAGACACAGAGAGAGAGAGAGGGAGAGACAGAGAGAGAGAGAGGGAGAGACTAGGAGAGAGGGAGAGAGAGAGAGACAGAAAGAGAGGGAGAGACAGAGCAAGAGACGGAGAGAGAGAGAGACAGACAGAGAGGGACAGAGAGAGAGGGACAGAGAGAGAGAGAGGGAGAGACAGAGAGAGAGAGAGACAGACAGACAGAGAGGGAGAGAAAGAGAGAGGGAAAGAGAGGGAGAGACAGAGAGAGAGGGAGAGAGAGAGACAGACAGACAGAGAGAGAGGGAGAGAGAGAGGGACAGGGAGACACAGAGAGAGAAAGCGAGAGACAGAGAGAGAGACAGAGCAAGAGACGGAGAGAGAGAGAGGGAGAGAAAGAGAGAGAGAGACAGCGAGGGACAGAGAGAGACAGAGAGAGAGAAAGAGAGAGAGAGACAGAGAGAGAGACAGAGACACAGAGACATAGAGAGAAAGAGTGAGACAGCGAGGGACAGAGAGAGATAGGGACAGAGAGACATAGAGAGAGAGAGGGACAGGGAGAGACAGGGACAGAGAGACATAGAGAGAGAGAGAGACAGCGAGGGACAGAGAGAGACAGGGACAGAGAGAGACAGGGACAGAGAGAGGGACAGCGAGGGACAGAGAGACATAGAGAGAGAGAAAGACAGAGAGAGACAGGGACAGAGAGACATAGAGAGAGAGAGAGA